CCGTCAGGGAGACCAGAGAGAGTCACAACCGTAAAGAGACGCTCCACTTGCGTCCTGTACACTGTAGCATCCGCAGCATGAGGTAACATAGCCAAAAATTCCTGCATCAAAGAACGAATCTTACCAACATAAACTTCCATACGAGCTTCGGGTGATTTGCGCAAATCCATCATCTGGGAGACAATGGAATAAAGTTGCTGAATATCATTGGTGTAGAGGTTTTTGGCTTCCGTCCACACATCTTAGCAGGTCTCAAAGGGAATGAAAATATTGATAAGAGATGAATCAATGGATTGCCAAAGAATACTGAGGAGCTGAGCATCAACTTTCTCCCATTCAGACGTCTGATCTTTGGAAATATCAGTCGTCTTAGTGGTGAGATGTTTGTCATGGCCCTGACCGGTAAACCAGGTCTTGTAAGTGGCAGATCCGGTCAATTTCAGAGTTGTGATAGATGGAATAGCACTTGAAATGATGCCGGAAGGATGTTTACTGGTTCCTTCCATCAGAAACAGCAATCAGACGACCAAAAAAAAAAAACCGGTAAAAGTCACGCAAAAAGGCAACAAAGTAGCAACTTTTGCACTGGAAACCCCCGAACGGAAGAGCCCACAACGAACGGACACCAGATCTGGAATGAGGAGGCAGAGGCGAGCCTGTCTGCCTTGGTTCGGCCGGAAAAGTGGCTGGAACAGTGCACACGCGCCAGTGAGAGGTGGCGCGTGAGGGCCACGCGCAGACTGCTGTGGTGGCGCGTGGGGGCGCGTGCCGCGGCCGTTTGGGACGGGTCTTGGACAGAAACGGTCGCCGGCGTGAGGGGAGCCTGATCGCGTGGTTTCTCGCCGGAATGGTGGCCGGAACAGTGATGAACAGTGACGGAACAGTGTTTCTGGCGATGTGAACAATGTTTTCCGGTCAAATAATGAAGGAGGATGACGATCTGAGATCGAAAAAGGGTCTAACAATGTTCGGAGGGTTGAAAAAGGTTGCCGGTATGATGCACGGCCGTAACAGGGTTTGCCGGTATGATGCATGGCGGTAAAAGGGTTTGCCGGTATGATGCACGACAGTAAATAAGAAAGGAAAGGATATATATGCGGAAGCAGAGCCCTCGGATCGAAAGCTCTGATACCATGTAAAGAACCTTGGGATACACCACCCCAAAAGCTAGCTTAAAGGGTAGGAGTGCCCAAGACCTTATAAACTCTATATTAGTTGCACATACAACCAATGTGGGACTATATATCTCAACATTTGGTATGTAGTAAACTCTTACGTTTCTTTTACGATTTTACGTTTCTGCTCACTCCTACCGTTTCTATGTAGACTCTATGTTTTAACAACATTGAGTGACACAACGCATTCTTGGGAATAAAAGATTGAATTGCCCAATTTTGATAGCATTGCTAGGCTGGAAAACTCTAAGGTTCACCAGGTGAAGTAAGAGAAGATTCAAGAAGAGTCAGATTCAAAACCAAAACCAGATGCAGAGATAGAATGCGAGCATGACCTAGTGGTAGAGACACTTGAGTCCGACAACATGATAGAGATGATTGAGGCAAAAGACAATGTTATGATGGAGATGATTGAGGCAAAAGACAACGTGGAGATGTATCAATTTTTCATGGTTTCATAAATATAGTTCTGGTTGAGATGACAATGCATCAGAAGAAACGGAAATCTCCAGTGAAACCAATGGATCCAGATTTGTCAATGGAGGTGTTTGGGGACATCGATGGCATTGGGGCCTTGGAATTTGAACTTGCTGGCCGAGCGTCTATCGCTGAATTTGGATTGGTGTACTGATGACATGATAGTGGAGCAGAGGCTGAAGAAGTTTATCACAGCAACCATGGAGATGCGAGTTATACGAAGTCCACCAACGTCCCCACTTTCACTGGAGTCGAGCTCACCTGCAGTGTGCAATGGAATGTTCGCAGCTGAGCTGCCATGGGTGGGTGCTAGAGAGGTACGTAGTAGAGTAGACGATTTGGTTCAAGCAAAGGAGAAAGGAGGGAGGGCAGAATTGGAATTTGCATACTGGGTCTGATTTTTTACCTGAAGGGCTATGCCCAAATTCATCTTAGTAAATGTCTTCATGAAGGAGGGTAAATGAAAATTTTGCTTCCCATCACCAAGGTTCCATGCCTTTGAGGCAGCGCTCAAAGCTGGTTGCTAGATATTATAGGCCCTATTAGTACTCAAGCAAACTGGTTCTGTTACCTTTCAGCTGCAACCCCCAAAGAAGGCTCAAATTCATCCAATATTTCACATCTCTTGGCCGAAGATGGCAGCAAGGAGTCATCATGCGGAAGCTGTATTTCCAGCAGACTTGGATGTGGGTTTTCGATACGAACCTTAGGAGAGCCTCACCCTAAAAGCTAGTTCATGAGGTAGGAGAGCTCAAAGTCTATATAGATCCCACACTAGACCCTTATGTTTCCGATATGGGACTCAAGTCTCATACCTTGCAATTAGATCGTAACATTCCATCATGCTTCGCACCTCGGCGCCCAGGCAGGCTTCGCTTTGCACTAGTCTTTTACTAGCCCTGGGCGAACACTGCAATATCAGCGTCACCATCCGCGCTGCTTGATTGCAACCAGGAGACATAGTGAAAGGCTTTGATACCAATTGAGACGAACCTTTGGAGAGCCTCACCCCAAAAGTTAGCTCATGAGGTAGGACTTAGGAGAGCCCCAAGTCCATATAAACCCCACACCACATCCTCCCGTTTCCGATGTGGGACTCAAGTCCCATACCTTGCAATTAGATCATAAAGTTTCTGTTATGGACCAACCAAAAAATCAAAAGAGCACACAATGAATTCTGGAAATGAAATGCGATTCTGATATATTTATATATCTGAGGTCTAAAATACAGTATAGAAGTAGTAATAGATTCAGAGACAATTACACCTCCAACCGCTCATCATCACTAGAATCAGATTACAAGTTCTGGAAAAAAGAAAAGAAACGAAATACAAAAAGGAAACGAAAGTGTGGAGCAATTGGAGAGGCTTCACTCTCTTCCAAGGTTAAGCAGACAGTTAGGTATGTTGGGGTTTGAGCAGGAAAGAACAATTAGTTCTATTCTCAATAGTTAAATAGGAGAAGAAGTGTAAGAGGGAGTTAGTCAGATATTCAGATTTGTTAGTTTGGATTTTGAAAGACAAAGCAGCGGCTCAATTGTAAATGGAAACCCTTGGAAGGGAATCCTCTAATCCTCTCCTTTGTTCTTTTCTTGTAATTCAATTATATTTTTTTTTGAATTTCTTTTCTCTGTTTTTCTTATCTCTGCAAGAATTGGTGTTCTACCCCTGTCAAGATCTCAATATGTCTATTGTGAATCCTAACCCTCTTTATTCCTATATGATTGATCAAGATATACAAGAATTTAAACATGCAATTCGAGGGAAACACAAACAATGAGAGACAATTTATTAATAAAAAGAATTAAATCAAACAAGGATTCGGATCCATGTCCCTAACTACAAAAGAAAATTAGCCAGACGTAGCTGGATTAAACAAAACAAAGAAGTAAAAAAGAATAGATGAAGTCATGAAGTTGAAAGAAGAAGAAGATGATCTTCCAGAGTTACTTCAATCTTCAAGTCTCTTTGTCTTCTCCTCTCTGAAACTCTCCAATTTCCAGCTCCTTTATCTCCTTACGTTCAACCCTTCAAAAGTCCCTCACTGATTTCCTTATCTTTGCTTTTATATCCCTTAAGTGATTTCCTTCAAATCCCCATCAAATCTTCTCAGATTCTATTTACAAAAGTGTCACGTGCCTCTGGCGCTAGTGGCGCGGTTCTGGCACTGCTAGCGCCGCTAAACAGAAGCTTATTTGTACTCTGGCGCTGATAGTGCTATTCCCGCGCTAGTGACATGGAAGATTCGAAGTTCTGGCGCTTCTAGCGCCATTCTCGCGTGGAAATGGAGGCTTTTTGAAGTTATTGGTGCTGGTAGCTCCACCCTGGCGCTATGAGTGCTGTGAAACATAAGATAATTGTATCTTTGGCGCTTCCAGCGCCTAGTTGGCACTGCAGGTGCAGCTGGACAGAAGCTCTCCTTCTTTTGCTCTTGTAGTTTAATCTCTTTTCAGTGTAAATTTTCCTACAAACACGAGATTTTTAATGAGAGTAAGTCTGAGAGTGGATTAGCAATCTTTATCACAATTATATGTCTTTTGAATCAATTTAAATCAAATCCATGCTTATTTTGGCCTTTAAAACATAGTATGCTGGAAGCATACCAATCTCTCTCTGGAAACTTAGAAGCTGTCTCTAGGTTTGTAACATATTCACAATGTGTCTGGGATTTATTGCCTAAATTCACTTTGTGGTTTGAGTTACAACTTACAATTATAAAGGTTGATGAGTGAAAATTGTCTACATGAGTTATTAGATTATGTGTTTGTGTTTGAGAAATGCTAGGTTTCTTTTGCTTTTAGGATCCATTTTTTCTTCCTATCCCTTTCTCTCGCTTTGCCCAGGTTTTTGTCTTTTGATGAAAATTTTGCCCTCATACAACATCATGTTTTCTTCCCTTTTTCTCTCCCTATCATCTTGAAAGGTGACAGGTTCGAATCCCGAAAAAACCCTCTTTGCAAATATGCAAGGGGTAAGACTACGTATAAGGATTGCCTTCATCTCACCCTTGCTAGTTGTGGTTTAATGAGTAATTTTTTCTCTCCTCTCTCCGCTATCAGTCCATCCATGGAGAATCATTGTATTTTCTTCCAATTTTCATCTCCCTCAACTTCCCCTATCCAAGCAAAAGGTTAGGTGTATAAGTTTTTACTCTGGTATTTTGTTATATGTATGATTGTAATTTACTTTCCTGCATGCAATTTTTATGTATATTGTTAATTATAATCATTCTGCAGGAATTTTTTTATGTAATCTTTGTTTTAAAAATGGTCTTCTATATTCCTACGAATGTAGGTCCATAGTTGGACATGCTTTTTTCCAGCATATTTTTAACTTTCGAATTCTTCAGTATTTCTTCATCAGACCTGGTTTCAAAGTGGATGGGTGAAAGTGAAAAGCTGGTTTCAAATCTTTTCCAAATGGCTCGTGAAAGTGCACCATCTATCATATTTATTGATGAAATAGATTCTCTATGTGGTCAGCGTGGAGAAGGCAATGAGAGTGAAGCTTCAAGACGAATTAAAACTGAACTTCTGGTGCAAATGCAGGTAATACATTTATGGTGCCGTGGTGGGGATATGTTAATAATAGTAATTGGTTTTAGTGGACATTTAAATTGCTTTATCCTGAACAAGTAAAGAGGTCTGAGTCGCAGTTTATGTAGCTTCAATTATTATAAATATAAATAGGACCAATGTATTAGTATTTTATCACATCATTACATACCATATAAATTTAAGAATATTATTTAGAGTTTTTATTCTCTATCTCCCCCTTTTCTGACCTAAACACTATAATTCCATCAATTCTCATCCTTGATTTTTCTTGTGCTGCAAAATTCTTTTAGTATTCTACCATTGTGCATATTTCCTTATATCTATATCCATTATCTTTTATTCTTGATTTTCTTTTTGGATTTGTTTGTTTCCCGAGTCTTTGAAATCCTAGATAAGTATGTCCTTAGAAATTGTGATTCTTGACATAAATAACTCAATCTTCAAATGGTGTAAGCATTTGCAGTTGTTACATTTTTATTTTGGTGTCCATAATCACTTAACTTGATTAGCCAAGGCAAGACTTGATTATTGTATTATTCTATTTTTTAGAATGTCCAAATTTGTAAAGTAGCTTGATTGGTAGATTTTAGTCATCCAGAATGTTGCACACAGTTTCTGATTAACGATTTTATCTTCAATTTAGTTATTCTAGAAGTAATCTTGTCTTATTTTGCTTCTTTCTCTTAAGCCGAACATGAATAGCATTTTTTTTTTCAAAAAAAGAAAATTCTGTCCCTTGGGTCCCTCTCTCCCAAGAAAAAACTTCATCGCCAAATGCATGTTGTTTGATCTTAGTGGATCAGAGGTTGATGTTGGATCTTGGATTGATGGTGTCTATGGAAGAAACGACTGCAAGGAGCAGGAGACCACTGTGCACGATGGGGTGACAGAGAGCCCGAGGGAGTGGTATGTGTGCATAGTGACATCACAGAAACAAGTGTTTTAGATGCATACTTGTGAGGTGAAACTCCCCTTTTATAGAGGGTTTCTCACCTAGAGGTGGTTTGGGCTGGACCGCGCGTCCAATTGCGAAGGGCCTATTATATTGATCCATAACACATGTTATTGTCGAAATATGTCTGGCATATCAGTTATTATTTACTGGTATCATTCATTTTGACATTCTTTATTGAACAAATTTTCTAAACAGTAATTACTATTATCATGGATCCTTATTTTACTAAATCAGAAGAGTCAAGGTTTCTAACAGCTTTGATTTCAGTTCTTTTTTTTTTTTTCGTCTGTATTTCCAATCATGATGTAGTTTATCCACTTTATATTGTAGGGTGTAGGAACCAATGATCAGAAAGTTCTCGTTCTTGCAGCAACAAATACTCCGTATGCTCTAGACCAGGTAAGAAAAAAATAGTTCTATTTTTTGGTTCTCATATTGAGTCAACGAGATACTGTTTTGATTAATCAACTTGTAAGTTGTAACTGCAGGCAATAAGGCGGCGATTCGATAAGCGTATATACATTCCACTGCCAGATGTGAAGGCTCGCCAACACATGTTCAAGGCAAGGGCATTTTACATGATTATGTTTAGTGAAGGATGAGTCTTATTGGGTTATGGGAACCTAGCAAACGGTCTTACCATGTATTTTTCTTTCTTGATAAATTACACAGGTGCATCTAGGAGATACTCCCCATAACTTGACTGAAAGTGATTTTGAACACTTGGCTCGCAAGACAGAGGGGTTTTCAGGTTCAGATATATCAGTCTGTGTAAGTTTGACTTCTATCTGAAATAAATGCTTGCAATTATCATTTTATTTAGAATAGTTTCAAGTTAAGGTATTTGGACCTCTTCTATAGGTGAAAGATGTTTTATTTGAACCTGTTCGCAAAACCCAAGATGCCATGTTTTTCTTTAAAAATCCTGAGGGTATGTGGATCCCATGTGGACCAAAGCAACAGAGTGCAGTACAAATCACAATGCAGGAGCTTGCTACGAAAGGACTTGCTTCTGAGGTATTTAAGAATCAAGATACTGCATATTTTGATGACAGTAGGATGACAGAACTTTTTCTGAATGATAATTGGAGGATAAGAGTTTTTATGCTTTTGTTTGCTATGCAGATCCTTCCTCCTCCTATATCGAGAACAGATTTTGACAAGGTACTTGCTAGACAAAGACCTACAGTAAGCAAATCTGACCTTGACGTTCATGAGAGATTCACGAAGGAGTTCGGAGAGGAAGGTTAATTCCGATGGAATTTGACTTCAAGGATCCACACTGGTTTAAATATATTATGATTTGTAATTTACTTAGCTATTGAATCAAGTGAAATGCATCTTTTTTATTCTAGTTTTGGGGATGTGAAATCCCCTCCCTCTTGTACGGAAGTGGATACTCATTTTACTTCTCCTAAATTGTGTATAACAGAATCTGAAATGATCAGTGAAATAAATTGTATGTGATGCTGGTTGCATGTGATGGTCTTCATTTTGAAAATGGGTTTCACAAATTTTAAAACAGTCACAGATTTGAGTGTTTTTCAGTTTCTTTCAGCTGCTATACTTCACCAAGTTACTGCCGTAAGAGAAACTAATCTCATTATTAAAGATGCCGATTAGGATATTCATTAAATGATAAAATCTGGTTTGAACAGGTTGTTTAACCAAATGTGATTAGATTAGTTTGTTATTCAAATTATTCCTAAGAATGCATATAAATTATCCGAAGTTTGATTTATATCTGTGAAGAAATTCTTTGAAAGGTCAAAATTTATTAGGTACGAGAACAGAGAAGAGCAGGAACTGCTGGATAACGACAGAGTAAGAATACATGAATATTAATAAAAAAAAAGTTAGTATCTCTTTTGCCACCTTTGTTTGACGGTAGGACGGCATTCTGAGGCCAGTGAAGACGTAAAGAAGTGACATGTAGTTGCTTTCTAGTTAATAGAGATAAGGGAGACATGCTCGAATGCCAGAGAAGATCATCAACTTAGTTAAAGATTTAAAGTGAAATTACATATTGTCTATCAAAAGGGAAAGCTGTTAATCAAAAGTAAAAGGTTTGACCAGTTGTGCCAATTTTCATTGGCTCTGCCATTCTTGGTATGCAGGTATAAAGTGTTCTAAGCAGCACCAGCAATTTTGTACTGACGTGTCTGTCTGCATAAAGAATCGAAGGATTAAGCATTTTAGCTACTCTAACTTGTAGAAATGTACTATAGCTTTTATTTTATTTTATTTCTTTCCTTTTTTAATCTGAAATGTACTATAGCTTTTGGTTTGTAAGCATATGCAATTTGTTTTCGTCCATAACACACTTTGAGTTCGGACAAGGGGAAGACCAATCCTTTGAATTTTTAAATATTGTAAACCCGTATCCATTCCCAATGTTATAGTTGTGAATGATATAAATATGAATCCAATAATTGCTGTTTATAATTCGTCCAAATGCTGCTAGTTTATTAAATGGGAAAAACTACTCTTACGTAACATGTAGTTTATCTCCTATAGACCCATCGAAAACCGTGACATTTTTTTTTTTTAGATAGTGGATCTCATCACATGTGTCTCTATAACATAAGATAGCATCTCTCATGTAACATGAGATTAGATAAACCCTTATTAAATATATATTTATCTTGGGTTTGTTTTTTCTAAAGTTATTTTAGATAACTTTATCTAATGTTCACCGAAACGACGTCGTTTTGGGGCGGAAATCATGGTATTTTTGTAATTTTAATTTATTTCAGGGTTATAATAGTCTTTATCATTCTAATTTTTTTATTTTTCAACCCCAAAACGACGTTGTTTCAATGAACATTAGACAAAGTTATCTAAAGTAACATTTGATATTTTTTTCCCATTTATCTTACCTCCTTTTTTAAATTTTATTTTACTTTTCATAGAATCCCAAATGGACACTAAGTTATAAGCAGAAACATATAAAGCCGGCAACTGATTTTTTAATGTTATATATGACATATAAGTTAGTTTGTTTTGGCCATAAAATGAGCGAATCACCTACCATAAAAGAATCAGCATTTCCTAATCTGCTTTGTGTCCTCGACTTTTGGCATATCATGGGGTTTTCCAAAATTTTAAGTTTCACCCTTCTCTTGTTTATTGGATATACTGTGGTGAATGGATCCACCCCAAAGGTAATCAGTGCTATGAGTGGAGATATTGGTCATGTCTAATCCTTGCTAAACTCATTTGATGCATGCTGTCTACGTGAGCTGCATGCATCTACAGCTTATGAGCTATATCACTTTATTGTTTGTTTTCTTCTGGCCTTAAACCAATACAATACTAGCTAGTAGCACTTAACTACTAGCATAAAACTAAACTAACTTTGTGATTTGCCTTGACACAGCATTATATAGTTTACATGGGAGAGCATTCACACCCCAGTTCAGAATCAGTAATAGCAGCAAACCATGATATGCTAGCTTCAGTCACTGGAAGGCATGGCACTCAATTTAAGACAAAATCTTGGAAATAATTATAACTACCAGTGTTCTTTTAAGCTTGATTTATATGTCTGAACATTTCTAAACGGAATAATATAGGCTAAAATGTACAAATTCTTTTCATTTTTCAGTCTCAGTGAAGCAAAGGCAGCAACAGTACACCACTATAGTAAAAGCTTTCGAGGCTTCTCGGCCATGGTTACACCAGAGCAAGCTAATCAACTTGCAGGTATTGTATTCCAGTGTTATATCTTTCTGTGTTTTTCCTTCCACTATATTGGACAAGGAAGCACTTTCAATAAGAGATGGAAGACTAATTCAGTATTTTTTGTTCGGGGCAGGTTATATTTACAAACTTTTTTGTTTACAAATTCTTACAAACTACACTATATTCTCTCGGGAGAATACAAACTTTTATAAATTACACTATGTTCTCCCGGGAGAATACAGTCTAAATTGTAAAAAAATTTAAAAAAATTTGTAAACGGATTGTGTCCCTTTTTATTCCGATGGATGTTTTGATTTATGTTTCAGAATATGACTCGGTTGTGTCTGTTTTTGAGAGCAAAATGAATCAGCTCCACACAACACATTCTTGGGATTTTCTTGGATTAGACTCTGTCTACAAGAGCAACCATATAACACTGGACTGCGCATCTGATGTCATTGTTGGTGTCATTGACTCTGGTAATTACTTTCTTTGACACTTTCTCTTTTTTCTTTCCTTTGGATTACAATAACTTAACATTGGTTTTCAGGGGTGTGGCCGGAATCCGAAAGCTTCACTGATTATGGATTAGGTCCTGTGCCCGAGAAATTCAAGGGAGAGTGTGTTACTGGTAAAAATTTCACACTAGCCAATTGCAACAAGTAAGAACACATTTTGTAATTCAATACTCGACACCACATTGAGTTTATGGGTCTTTTTAACTTATATATTCATTGTTTAATCCATTCCTAACCAACATAAAACTTTACTAGTCACACTCGAATTCCCACGTAGACATGTTATCATTTATATGAAAACTTAGCACATAGCCAACCATGTCATCTCATATGAGGTTTGGATATTTCAGGAAAATTATTGGTGCCCGGTTCTATTCAAAAGGGTTGGAGGCAGAACTTGGTGGTCCTCTGGAAGATGTTGTTAACCAGATTTTCTTCCGGTCAGCTCGAGATAGTGATGGACATGGAAGCCACACTGCTTCCACTATTGCAGGATCCATTGTTGCTAATGCAAGTTTATTTGGTATAGCCAAAGGAACTGCAAGAGGTGGTGTCCCAAGTGCTAGACTAGCAATCTACAAGGCTTGTTGGTTTGGGTTTTGCAATGATGCTGATATTTTTTCTGCCATGGATGATGCCATTCATGATGGGGTTGACATACTATCTCTTTCTTTTGGCCCTAATCCTCCTCAGCCAAGTTACTTCAAGGATGCAGTCACTGTTGGATCATTCCATGCATTCCAAAAGGGTATTCTTGTTTCTGCTTCAGCTGGAAACTCGGTTTTTCCTAGTACTGCATGCAATGTTGCTCCTTGGATCCTCACTGTTGCTGCTAGCACCATAGACAGGGAATTCAGTTCAAATATCTACCTTGGTAATTCAAAGGTTTTAAAGGTGAAGTCAAAATAACAAACCATATCTAAATTATAACCCAAATAAAAAAATAGTACATTTCAGTATCAGTATATTAAGACGGGTTTATGTGCCTTCAGGGTTCTTCTTTGAATCCAATAAAAATGGAGCATTCTTATGGTTTGATATATGGAAGTGCCGCTGCAGCTGCAGGAGTTCCAGCAACAAATGCAAGGTATCTTATGCATTAGATGGCAAAGCACAAACTTTATTGTTGATTCCTGTTTCAGATTCTACATAACTTTTTGCTTCTTGGTGTCTACTCTTTAAGCTAAATTAAACAAAACTCTTCATATTTTCTGTAGCATGTATAAGGAAAATTTAGGATAAAGAAATCCCATCCCTTTTCCTTTGTCACAATCTAGTGGGAAAATGAGACAATATTTGTTGTAAGATCTAAAACTTTTTTCTTTTAGAAGATATACAAAACTAGACTCCCTATCTGCCATATCATTAAACCCTTAGCAAAAACTTTTTTGGACATTTAGAATCACATGTGTTGTTTGATTTCAAAAAGAAAAAAAATCCGAAATCCCCATATTTCTCATAATTGTGTTTTGTGTCATATGGTAATGTAATTACTTTGAATTCCCATATTCTGCACAAATGTATGGGAACCATTTGAGGGTGATGATTGAACCCAAGACAACTGGAGTGCCATGATTCAATTTTTTTTCTTAATCCCAATTATTTGATTTCTTTTGTTACCAGCTTCTGCAAGAACAATACTCTAGATCCTGCCTTAATCAAGGATAAAATTGTGATCTGTACAATTGACGAAATCAGGGATAACAGACCAGAGAAGTCCATAATAGTAAAGCAAGGTGGGGGTGTTGGAATGATACTTATTGATCATAATGCCAAAGATATTGGTTTTCAGTTTGTCATCCCTAGCACTCTCATTGGTCAGGATGCCGTAGAAGAGCTTCAAGCATATATAAAGACAGAGAAGTGAGTTTACACTATTTAGCATATATAAGTAGTCACACTTTGTTGTCAAAAGATTGGTCGGTGAAACATTGTTGCTAATGCTTTTTTATTGTGTCAGGAATCCCATTGCTAGAATCTACCCAACAATAACTGTTGTTGGTACAAAACCTGCACCAGAAGTGGCAGCTTTTTCTTCCATGGGGCCAAATATAATAACACCAGATATTATTAAGGCAAGTTAACACAGTTGACAATGTTTAAACCTGCATGCACTGCAGAAACTTTACATTGGCATAAAACAATAAAGAGGATATAATGTTGAACTTTGATGCTATGCTTATAAATGCTGAATAGTGTATCTCATCCAACTATGCAGCCTGACATCACAGCACCTGGAGTGAATATTTTGGCAGCATGGTCTCCATTGGCAGCTGAAGCCACAGTTGAACAACAATCTGTCAACTACAACATCATTTCAGGAACATCAATGGCTTGTCCACACATATCTGCTGTTGCAGCAATTATAAAATCTTACCACCCCTCATGGAGTCCTGCAGCCATAATGTCTGCAATAATGACAACAGGTAAGTTGTTTGTGCTATAGAAGTCCCTGGCAACAACCAAAACCATGAGAATTGATGTTTTGTAATTGTCAGGAATTAATAATGCCTTTGTTATGATGTTACAGCAACAGTTATGGATAACACACATGGCCTCATAGGAAGAGATCCAAATGGAACTGAAACCACACCTTTTGACTATGGATCTGGACATGTTAACCCTGTTGCATCACTAAATCCTGGATTAGTATATGATTTTAATTCCCAAGATGTTCTCAATTTTCTCTGCAGCAATGAGGCAAGCCCAGCACAACTTAAAAACCTCACTGGGGAATTTACTCAATGTCAGAAATCTCCTACAGCTTCCTACAACTTCAATTATCCATCAATTGGTGTGTCCAATTTGAATGGAAGTTTATCTGTATATCGTACAGTTACTTACTATGGTTTAGAACCAACAGTATATTATGCAAGTGTTGAAAATCCATCTGGTGTAAATGTTAAAGTTACACCATCAGAGCTTAAGTTCTGGAAAACAGGAGAGAAGATAACTTTCAGGATTGATTTCAACCCTTTCAAGAATAGCAATGGAAACTTTGTGTTTGGTGCCTTGACATGGAACAATGGCATTCAAAGGGTTAGGAGTCCTATTGGTCTCATTGTACTATCTACTTAGCATTGCTGCTTCTTTGCCTGGATTATTATTATTGGGTTTATTACACCTAAAGAAAATGTATTTATATAACTATTTTTTCTGAAAAAATAAATCAATAGATATCATTGAGGATTTCTATGTAACCAATTCTCCCTTAGCAAGAGTGAATCTTTATACATCACAACATACTCACCAGTATTATCTGCACATATTCTCCGAGTCATGGCAAAATAAAATTTCTTGTGTACTATTGAGTGTTAATGTAAATGGTACTACTCATTGTGTTGTTTATGTAAGGTTAAACTTTGTCAAAGTCGAAAACACTTTCCATACATATACAACTGCGATTTAAAAAATTACACCTGAATTTTTTTATTTTTTTTTTAATCCGTACCTATAACACAAAAAACGAGGCACTTTTATTGGATTGTCGCACCCAATCAACGGTGCGACAGTAGTAAAAGTCTGGGTTCATTACCCTCATAAGAAGGACGGTTTCTTTTATGTTTTGTGCTTCATTAAATCCATGCACATGTGTTGGGCTTATGCGTTTATTAAGAACCAACTTTTTTTTTTTTTTAGTTTTCCAACCAGTTCATTCTTCGGACTACATTTAGTTCGAGCACTTGTCGGATCCTATTAAAGGGGGTAACTTTCCCAAATCTTATTTTTCATTTTCAGAACTCGAACTCAAAACCTCTGGTTAAGGAGCCTAGACTTCTTATTATCTGTGCCAAAGGTATTTGATTAATAAGATAAACATATTGCGTTACCATGAATCTTACAACTAAAATTGATTTTTTGGATGTATTAGATATTTTAATAAAATTTAAACCCTCTTTTTCTTAATTTGGTTTGAAAGTGAGTTATCAAGTCTTGGCTGAAGTAATACTCAATAAAATAAAAGGGTATGTTAAGCACCCTTCAATATTTTCCGCACACATTAACTAGAGCTTAAAAACTAGTTTCAGTGATGTGTATTGCAATTTCAATGTATGAATATACCGAAGAAAAAAACAATAACTACTTTAAAAGTATCCTAATTAGAGCCAACCGAAAATAACGATTTGATTGCCTAGAAAAAATGATCACTGGGCCAAATATTCAGGTCTGCATGCAATGTTTATTTTTAGAGTATATAAAAAAGGGGACGGATCCGTTTACAAATTTATTTTATAAATTTTTGCAAATTACACTATGTTTTTTCGGGAGAACATATTGTAACCTAATATTCTTTCGTGAGAATATAATGTAGTTTGTAAACAAAAAGTTTGTAAAATATTACTACATTTTAATGGAAGCAAATTATATTGTCTATCACTAGAATCTTCCTTAGATAGATTTAAATCAACGGTTTCAAACATCACAAAATTAAAAAAATAAATAAAAAGTTATATCGGTGGGTATGGATTTTTATCTCTCTTGTCATATATCTTCTCTCCTCCAAACATAACAAAACTAAAAAACAATTGTTACCCACCCCACACCTATTTCAGTTATGCTTATGCTCATCCGTTCAAAAAATTAAAGACTCTTTGTATGGAAAAGTAATTAGCAATTAAAAAAAAAAATCAAATATGTTGGTAGTAGGCGATTTAATGCTTGTAATAGTATGATGTATCAATAATTTGAGAATTTCGCAATGTCACATGAAGAATAGAGAACAACTGAATTTTTTAGGACAAATGAGCACAAAAATGTTCATAGAAGAGAGATAAGAAATTGAAAAAAGAAAAGAAAAGAGAGAGAATATAGGCGTGGGGTGGTTCGTGTAACAATTTAAAAGTTTTGTTGTGTTTGCAAGAAAAAAGATAGACGATGTCTGAGTACCAAAAAAAATAAAAAATGTTGGACATGGATTTTCTGATGTGAGAAAAAACATGACATGGTCACGTGAGAAGATCACAACCATACAAAGTTAGATCAATTGTTATGATTTTGTAACTACTTATTTTACTATTTTTTTTCTCTCCTCTTTTATTACCATTGATCCACCTTTGTATAGTTATGATTTTTAATTTTACCATGTAATGTGATTTTTCACATTAGAGGATCTAGATCCAAAAATGATAGAGATGAAGCACCCATCAATATAGGCGTGAGATCTCATAAGCAAATAGGAGCGAAGATTTCATAGTAAGTTCGAATTTGAGTTCTTTCGATGTTCTTAGGATGTTTCTTATTGCCTTCGGTTCATATCGATACAAAACTGTAAAATACTACCAAAAATGTATCATAATTTGGTAATTGTTCGTTGCATTTATCTACTTTAAGCTACACAAAAAGTTCCAATGTGACAGACATAATTCTTAGATGTATTGATTTATTCTTGATATATTTGTGCCCCCTAAACTTGATACCCGAGATGCAAGAAGAGAGAACGAGCACAAAATTTACCTGGAATAATCCTTTCTAATTGCAGAGAACTCCCACCTCCCACCTCCCCCAAATTTTTAGTGCATCCCTCTCTTCAACTGCACCTAAAAAAATCCTAAATCAATTGCAAGATGCTTCCTTTATTTCACACTCTTTTTTGTTTACATAATGTTCTATATTGTGAATTGATAGTTTGAAGATGATAACTGAGGTTGTTGGAAACTTGGAGTAAATGGTATCTTGTTCTGTGCTTAATCCTATTTTGCAGTTTGGACTAGGTGGGCATGTATATTGTTGAGATATATAGGTCACATTTGGTTGTATGTGCAACTAATGTGCAGTTTATAAGAGCTTGGGCACTCCTACCTTTTGAGCTAGTTTTTGGAGTGATGTATCCCAAGGTTCTTTACATGGTATCAGAGCCTCGCTGCCTCTCACTTTCTCTTGTGGCGTTTCTTAGCACAGGTAGGCTGGGCCTGTTGCATTGTCCACTCTTCATGTCCAATGGGCTCTCGTGTGAGGGGACGTGTTGAGATATATAGTCTCACATTGATCGTATGTGCAACTAATGTAGAGTTTATAAGACCTTGGACACTCCCACCCTTTGAGCTAGTTTTTGGGGTGATGTATCCCAAGGTTCTTTACACGTATATTTATCTTTTCTATAGTATCCACATAATGCTGAATATTCTTGTTGACAAGGAAGGAGTTGGTGTTGCTGTTTTGATACATTTTTGTGCTCTCATTAGTGGTAATGCTCACTAGTATGCTAAACCATTCTGTATAGTTGTTGGGTTTTGTCATTTAGTCCTTCTATCATGCCTTGCTTTCCTTTCCTTGAACACTCTGTGTGCTTGTCGATGAGTCTCTTCAGAAGGAAGTCATATTCTGTTGCCTCAAAATGTTTTATTTTAAAATCATCCGTTTAAAAAAAATGTAATTTATCTTTTATTTGCTTTTGTAACAATAGCAATAATATTGTTTTTTTTTTTAAACTAAATCTCAGGAAATGTGTATGTGTGCTGCTGAATTAGCTATATCATCAATGGGTTAATTAATTTCAAATCAGAATTGAAGATTGAAGAATCCATAGTACATATGCATATTTCATTTAACCATTAGTCTTTTGATAGTTTAGATTCATTCATTCTGCATAGGTTGAGTTTAATTTATTTAGTTGTGATGATATTTACATTGATTATGTGCAGGTTTAGTGCCTATGTTTTTGTAGGTTTCATGCCATTTATTCTCATTTAACCGTATTTTCTTTTTTTTAATACATATTAAATTTTTAAATGGCTCGCGGGCTGACTCTAGTTTATAGGGCTTTTGGTCCGTGCGGATCTTTATTATTAAGGGTCATTTGGCTCTATGGACATTTTAGTCCTAACTCACACGGGATAGAGTCTAAAGGGTCAGGCTGACCCGTTTTGACAGTTCTAAATATAACAGTGTATTTTCATTTAATTTTGTAATGTTTGTACTATTGATTTGAATTTGATATAATAGTAGAGAAAAGGTAATAAGAGTAAGAAAATTAAAGTGGTAAATAATATAATTTTCTCCATTTTAAAAGAATAAGTTATACTACCTACATATTTATTTTTCTATCCTTATTATTTTTTATCATCGTTAGATGAAATTTAAATATAATAAATTTTAAAAATAAAAAATAGTTGCATATCTCTATTTTTTTTTATTTCTGTCTCTTTCATTCTCTCTCCATTGCTTTTCTCAACAGATTACATCTCTTATTTATCTCTTTATGTTATATTGATTTGGTTTTTGTCTCCTTTTTTTCTCTCCCAATGCAACCCATTTAAATTGTTTTTGCCCTAGTTTCGTGAAAGATGCAATCAACTCTATTTATATTAAGAATATTTTTCTATTAATAATATTTATCAAATATTTAGAATATTCAGAGAATATTCGAATTTTATATTCAAAATTTTCTATTTTAATTCTATTTATTTTATTATTTTTATTATGCAAGTAAAAGAGGGACAAAAAGAAAGAGAGAGAGAATTTTAAATTGAAGAGAGAGAATGTTTGACCAAAGGAAATAATAGAGATAACTTTTAAATGAAGAGAGAAGGAAGAAAGAGAACTTTTAATTAAAGAGAGAAGGAAGAGAGATAATATTTGACTTATGACAAAGAAGAGAGAATATTTAAGAGAAGGAAGATAAGAGAGAGAAAAAAGAAAAAAAGAGAAAGTAGTGGGATTGAGTATGCTTGGAAGCATTGATTTAATTTATGGGGGTTGAGTTTCAGCAAAACTCATCTCTTTTTCGCAGATACGCTACAGTATCGTATATTATATATATATATATATATATATATATATATATATATATATATATATATATATATATATATATTTTACTTAAGGTGGATTCCACATCAAAAGTTTAACTGCAGCAGAAGATGTGATCTTTTCTGTAACTGGAGAAGTATATAACCCTTAATTTATATATGATCTCACGTTACAAAAGGTAAGAAGCTTTGGCAATATAATCAGCTCCATTTTAAATTAGGAGCTTTTATTAAAATTTAATATTGTGGTTATATTGCGTATAACCTTAATCTTCATACCCTTACTATTCATTTTCCACCCTTGAATTGGATTCAAATTAACATTTCAAA